TTCTGTGAGTCTTCACAGCATCCCTCTGCGAATTACATTCCTGAATGCCATGTAGTCACCTGCCAGGTAATGACCTCACCTTTCCTTGTTGCTTGAGGTGCTCCAGTGCAACAAAAATCCAAACATCCAAAGTTTGCACATTACAGCAGGGGACAGCACTGGACTCGCTCATGTTCCATCATACAGATATATGACAACAAATCATGATTTTTGTGCCCTTGTACAAATAATACATAGATCCACCCCTAAAATTTAAAAACGTAGGATTCAATGTGTACTATTTAGAAGTTCACTGAAGAGGGTTTCTCCAAGAACATTTCTCATGGTGAATGATAAACACAGTTGGTTCCTCAGGCCTTTTGTTAGAAACCTCTAGATCTTTCTACGGCAGCTACTCATAGTGACTACTTTGTATATAAAAAATGCGTATCTTCAGACAATTAAGACAGGCTTTGCTCACAATTATGCAAATTTGAGATAATAACTAATCTTTCTCACTATAGAAAAAGTGAAAAGCTGTCCTAATGTAATTTATACTGCATTGCAATCAGCTAGGTATCAGTGCTTACTGTAATAGCTGTGTGTTCAGCATGGTGTGTGTTTATTTGCCCTGGGGCAGCCATACCCCAGCTGTTAGCATTAAGGCACATTCCATGTCCATGCAAAGGCCCTTCATGGAAACACCCTTTTTTGGGGAGTTAGTTTTTAATTTACTTGTTAGGATTTTTGTTAAGACCCTCCATTTGCTACTAAGAGGCTATTTTCTGTCATGGTTTTCTATGATGACTTTTCCCATCTGTCCCTTTCTACATCCCAATTGCTTGACTGATTTTGGTTTTCTTTTGAACATACTAAAAACTCAAAACATTACCCGAAATGTAATGCATGTATGTTTTACACAGAAGTGCAGTGTATCTGCAGATATGATCTGTAGACGGGTTGTTTAAACATTTGGCAAATGATGTTTTAATTCATAGTATTAATTCTCAAATTTTTTTTTTTTTTTTTTTTTTTTTTTTGATGAAACAGCCTCATATACATAACTAAGTCTCACTTTATCAACATACTAAAAGCAGTATTTCCAGGCCAATAGGGCTGGTGTTTTCTTCTTGAAGTTACTGCAGCTGTGAGTATTGTACCACAACTGACCTCTCAAAGACTTCAGAAGTCCCAAAGGGAGTGGGATATATTTTTTAACTTTTTTAAATTTAAGTTTCTAACAAGCATTCTCCCTCCATGTCAGAGGAGACAGCGACTCAGACAGATGGTTATTACAGAAAATTACATACCAAAATGGAAGGTAAAAATAGGGTGCATGATACCAGTCCATGAATGTACCTCTCTTACTCTTCAATTTCTGGAAATAATGATTTCCATAAAAGCCAGCCATGGGTGCAGAGTTGGATATTCCTGTTATTTAATGCAAATGGTGCATCAGCACATATGCTTTCAGGGTACCTGCAGTTACAAATTACTTCAGATCTTAAAATCATGTTTTGAACCTGTCTTTATTACCAAAAAAAATTATGTTAAAAATAAGCAAACATCTTCATTAAAGATCTACTTCATAGAAGATTTTCGTACCTATTTGCTGTTTTTGTGTTAGCAGTAACAGTTGAAAGGCCACTTTAGATTAGATCTACAAGAGTCATTAAATGCTTCAAAATGTATCATTACTTTTAAATGTATCAGAGAACTCTTTTTCATTTGTGAATCTATGCTACGAACTTTGCAGTTAGCAATGCTTTTTAACAATATACAAGACAGTGCAAATGAACATTAAAATCAACATGATTTTATAGATATTTAAGGATTATACAGTATACAAACATCCCTAAATATTTAAATATTTATTTCATAAATATGAAATAAATATTTATTTCATAATTTGTTCAAAGTGCTTCAAAAATGCTTAATTTATACATTGTTGTTAGTTTCCATTTTCACAATAATTAATTAGTTGAACTTGATGATCTTATTCTGTTTGACAGCCGCATAATTTGGCCAACATGACAACTGCTTTGGTAAAAGAACTGAGTATTGAAACAATTAATTCTGAATTTTTCTCTTAATTAAGGGTTCTTATGTCCAACAAACCCATGTCACATCACTACAGGAAGAAGTCCTTGTAAGGACCAAATGAAGGGCCAAAGATATCATTCAAAGCTCATACTGTAACTACCTCAATCAGATAATATAAACATCTCCATGTTCATGGTCTTTCTGAGACTTCAGCTTGTAATAATGAAAGCAACAGAATTCAGAATGAAATTCGGGTGCATTAACTGCAGAATAAGCACGACAGGAATGGAGTTTTTGCAGAACTGCAAAACTGTAAGGTTAGCTTTTAAAAAGCACGCAGTTAGTTATTTTCTCAGCTTTTTAAATTTGCTTCTAGGTTTGTCTCATCATAAGGAAAGGGATTCGTTCTGCAGCCGGTTCACCTCCTCCCACCTAGGAGTGATTTGAGGGTTGCAGAGATGAAGTAAAAAAAGGTATTTTGCATCATTTAATTATGAGCTCTTTAGCTGCCTGAGTAATGCTGATGGGAGTCCAGAAAAATGTGTCTTGTCTGCCTTAGGCAGCATAAAATAGGAACACGCTTCAGCTCAGAGGGGAAAAAAGGCACATGGAGAGATTGTAATAGGGAACTCGCACTTGACAAATGGCACAAGCATGAGAAAATTCACTGGCAAAATATTAACACTCTGTCTTCTGAGAAGCTTGACATTATCAGAGAAGAAGATTTTTCTGTTTTAAAAAAGCCATAAAAAACAGACAAAAAACAAAAAAGAAGAAACACTGTCAAAACCTAATTCCCTTCCAAGATAATCAGTCTCCAGTTATTTGAATCACTGTTGTTCTTCCCAGAAGTTGTATAATGGTTCAACAGGGGTGTGTGCATTGTTAAATGTCCCTCCACTGAAAGGAGCAAATCACAGTTCTCTCATTCCCCGGTTTCCATCCCTGAATTTCCACTGTTTTTCTTGATGTTACTTCCCTCTTACAATCATGGCAGTGACAAAGAGTAAAGCCCACATACGTAAGTCCTGTTCCAACCCTTGGTAAGTCAGAACAACAACCAGGGGAGGCTGCCTGCCTTAAGGTGAAGGACTACACAGTTTATAGGGGCTGATTCTGCTCCTACTGAATCAGCGAGTTAAATTTATGGACAGGAAACTTCTCTCAGGTGTAGCTGTCTTCAGATCCTGTAGCTGTCTAGCTCCCTTGGCTGTTCATTAAGTCTGCAGCTCCAGAAGGGGAAATTCTCCTCTCCTGTAGTGCACACTCAGACAAGTAAGGGGGTCTGACCCCATCAAATTATACGAGGTTGTAAGAACATGATCCAGTTTTGGATACTGACTGATTTGCAGACCTAAACTCTAAATTTTTCAGGGCTGGGGTTATGCATGTGTGTGTGTCACTGTTTTCTTGACTTCCATGTTAGGAGTAGTCAGAAGAAAGGTATAAACTGTGAGTGAGATGGGGCACGACTTAGATGCAAGGAATAATATACATCAGGCTGACTTAGAGCTGGGCAACCCCACATCAGTCTGTCAGGAAAATTGCTGGTTACTAGCTAGTAAGTATTACAAGCCTCTTTTCTGCCAATAAGATAGGGAGCACAATCAGCAGGTGGAGCAAGTGCTGTTTACTTAAAAACCTCTGTTCTCTAGCACTACCTCAAGCTACTACTCTGAGTGTATAGACAGATGTTATACACAAAAGTCGACCTCCTTCAGACGGGACAAAGAAATGGAGAAAGAACCATGGGAGGACTGTTTCTGCTGCACCAAACTAAGGGTATTTGGTTTAAAGACTTCTGTTCAATTATCTTAACCAGTGAGGCTTTTAGTATTGGCATTCCTATGCTGGTTTTGCAGAAAAGGTACCTCCTTGTCTTTGACAGAAAGAAAAGACAAAAGCAGCTCATACAATGTCTCCTAGAATGGCTGAATCATATTTCAGGAATATGAAATCATTCTGCATTTCCATCATAGGCCTTAGGATTTCTAAATTTACACAGTTTTGAATTTAGATCAAAAACTACCCTGTAAACAGTGATTTGATGAAATGTAGGAACCCCGTGAAAGGCTGTGTTTTTCTTAAAATATGACAGAAGGAGTATTTATTTTGAGTATAAAACTATCTTCTTAAAAAAAAAAAGTCATGGCTTTGTAGAGGTTTTTTCAGAAGCAAAATTTATGAGGAAGTGTCAATGCTTTTAAAAACATTTTTAAATCTCAGGTCAACATTATATTTTGTTGCTGCAAACATGACACACATTGCAAATAATTCCACGAAGTAAAAAGTTGCTTAGACAAAAATGATCCTTGCATCAAGCTGAAGGTTTTTACTGTATATGCAGAGATGCAGGAAAATTTAAAATTCAGATTCTAGTTAAGCTAGGAAAGTATGACTTTTTAAGGCTTAAGAAAACTAAAGAAATAGCAAGTCTTCTATTTCTACACTGAAATATCAAAACAAACCTATGAAAGAAAGTATTGGGAAAAGACTGCTTGGGTAATATATACAAATAAAGTGAAGTCTGTCCATAAATAAGTCAATAAAACTGTGTCTGCAGCCTGTGACATCAGGATGCTGGCACAGTCTTTAATGTTAACAACCTTGTACAGAAGCAAGATTTAGGTGGTGCATGTTTGCCACTGATTTTCTAAGTGCTTCTGCACAAGAAAACTGTATTTGTAAAGTAAGTGAAAAGGTTAATCACTGCTTGTTATGTCTCTTCAATATGTCCTTCTGTGGAGAAAGCTTGGGGAAAAAATATTAAGAAAACCCTAAAAATGAAAAAACCAAGATGTCACAACTGCATTACAGTCTGAAATGTATGTCAAGCAAATAATTTTCATGTTCTCTTCTTGCATTGCCTGCATATCCACAAAGTTTGTAAAACAACTAAATGATGATTTATGCATGGTAACTTCCTTAGCAGTAATTGTTATGCCAAGAAAAACTTATTTACTGGTTGCAGACACTCATACAATAATATATGTTTTTTTATTGCATGAACCAATCAATCAGTGTGAAGCACAGATGGTGAATGGTGAAAACAGAAAACACGTTTGTTTTCCTTCATTTCTAACAAAAATGTCTAAGCTGTATTGTTGTCACTGAGAAGTGGGTCTCTGCTCTGAAATGTGGAGCAAAATAATGTAGCTTGACCTAGAAACTGTACAGTTTCTGTGGCTACAGAGCTAAAATCATGCTGCAAACAGGCAACAAAAGATAAATTATGGCACATATGTAACTTAGCTCATGTATTTGTGTTTAGAATTACAGATAATTCAAGAAATGACAACATATTAATTCTGAAAATCAGATCAGCAACAACAAAGACCCTAAATGTGTAGCACTATTTCAGTACTCAAAAGCTGTACTTCATCCATGGGAACTACACTGAACTAGTAAAGACTGAATACCACATCAATATTCCCAGCAGCAGTTCAGGAACTTCACAACTCTTCTATTGTTTTATTTATGAATATTGCAGCTCAAGCTTGCTCAAGTTCCACAAGGACTCCATGGCAATCTTTAGGGTGAAGAAAAATCACAGGTTTGCCATGTGCACCTATTTTTGGCTCTTCACTCAATATTCGTATCTTTTTTTTCTTCAGTTCTGTCATAGCCGCTTTTATGTCATCAACCTTATAAAAAAGATACAGTTCACACAAATTAACATATTGCACTGTATTATGCAGATTTTACATTTAGAAGCAATAATGTAATTCCTTACTGAAATGTTATTTATAAGTTCTAATATAATTCTGAAAATAAATTAGGTTTTAAAATGTTTTAAAAACCATTTTACATGTTTTAAAAACCATTTTAAAACATCTAGTCTTAAAAATAAAAATACTACAGAAGTTTGCATTTGTTATTTGAAGATTTTATAAAATACCATTTAAACAGATTGTACTATATTTAAGAAATTAATAAACCAAAATTATTCATGCACAAAGCCCATTGATTTTTTTTGTTGTTACTTTATAAGGACTCCATAAATACTCTAAATTCTGCATTACTTTTACTAAGGAGATTATATTGCTATCTAGCTCTCAATAACTAAAGAAAAATACCTGCCTTTATAAGTGATGACAGAGCACTGACTCATTAAATGCTGGTAAAAAGGGAGGGCAGTGGACAGAAGGTAAAAGTCCCTTTTAGATTTATATATTCTCCTTCTGAGTAGGTTAAGGCTTATAAAGTTTCCTAATGAAAAGAGCTTGGAATTATCAAAAATATATCCAAATGTGGTCTTCCTATTGAAATTAACTATAATAACAGCCATTAATACAGTATTTCAGTAGAGTTTCCTACGGAAATATGCAAATAACAGAAACACGCCTATACTGCACGCTGTGATCTGAAGTTCTGATGTCATGTCATCCAATGAAATCTGAATTTTCCTAAAACTTAAATGCATTCATTTTTTGAAATAATAATATTAACATTCAATTTAGAAAATTTAACTGTCAATAATAAAAAAATACCTAGAATTAAAATAATATTGTTATTTTTCAAGACTGAGGTGTCTGGACATAATTTGGTGAATAAACTTTCCCGATGCCATTGTAGGGAAGAAGGAAATTCCTAGCTTTAATTCAGAGGAGCAGACATCACCTAATTCCTACCCATTTGCAGCATTTTTGTTCATGAATATTCCAAACTCACTACAGCTCTTCCTACACACAACTACCAGTCTGCAAAGCAAAAAGAAATGACTGTCAAATTATCTAAACTAGAAAGGCTACATGTGACATGTGCCATGGCCCCCTCATTCTTTCCCTGAGCAGAAAAGCCACAGCAGCTGCTGCTCCTGTCCTGCAGAGATGGCCTGAAGAGGAACTGAGTCTGGGCTCAGCTGGAATGAATTCCTGTATCCCCAAGGATGAGTGACAGTAAACAGTGGAAATCCTTTGGGTGCATCCATGTTAGGAGAGTACCAGGCTTGGATTGCTCTCTTACTCTAGTGTGTCCACCACGGTTTTCACTGCAGGTACTACATTGTAACTGGTCAGGAATAATTTAATTTCTTCCTAAAATACTTATGTTTTTTGAAACAAGTTGCCTATCAAAACATCTGTCTAAATTTTCCTTTGTGTAAGAGAGAAGAAATATGACAGCCTTATTATGTTAGTTCTTGACACAGGTCAATCCTATTAAAATACGTATACTTTAATTTATCTATCTTATTACATTAAATATTTTGTTAAAATACCTCAATGCAGATATGATGCATTCCTCCAGTCTTGTTTTTTTGTAGGAAGCTTGCAATGGGACTTTTCTCTCCTAATGGATGTAGAAGTTCCAGCTTGGTATTTCCCAGCTCCACAAAAACAGTGTAGACACCATGTTCAGGAAGAGCAACAATCTCACTCACCTGGGCTCCTAACACATCTTTATACAAGGACTGAGCTTTCTCCAAATCAGGCACTGCAATTGCCACGTGATTAAGTCGGCCCAGTTTCCATAAACAGTTTGGAATGTTTTGTGAAAAGGACTTTGATGATGATAGAGTTGGTACTGTGGGAGCTGAAGTCTGCAATCTGCTAAGAAGCCCTGAAAGAAAAGTGAATATCACTGACACAATGCTTTTGAGAAAGTCTCAGTGCCTGCTCTTTCCCCTATAAACGCCCACAGAGCTGCCAAATCATTGGCACACCCTTGTGCAATGCTCAGGGTAGACTGAGAGCAAGGAAACACTCATTTTCAGAGCAAGTAAATATTCAGAAGTATTAAAAAAATAATTAAAAAAACCCACAAAGCTGACTCAAATTTGGTGTAAATCCTTACATATGCCTGGTGCAAAGAGGAAAACATGACCAATTGTAAAGGCCAACAGAATAATGTGCTTAAAAGTGACTTTTGAAATTTTCAGAGATTCTTACAAAATAAAAAAATAAGGATTGCCTATACATCTCAAAATTTTAGCAAACAAACAAAAAGGTTGAGAAGAAAAAGAAAGATATAAACTGAGGGTACTTACAAATTGATTACATTAAAAATTAATCTGTCAGCACTAGAATCTAGAGGGGTTGGGGGTGGGGAGAAATTGTGATAGTATCAGTTGTTTCTAGAACCAAAATTAGAATTAGATTAAAGGATATATTCATAAAAGCCACATTCTAATTCCATGCCTGTTTGCTTTAGGCCAAGTCAGAGCTCCCACTGCCTCAAGGCCAAGCTGGAGGCATCTTAGCATTTTGGGAGTCTTTGAGGCATCCTTTGCTTTAAAGTCACAAATGTGCTATTCTGCTTAGAGACTGTGCCAGTGATGCTCTGAGATTCTGGATGCTTTGAAACACACTGAGGATAGATAGCCTGGCTAGGCTCTTGGTGCTCTGTAAGGTCAGTAATAGCTGTAATTAATTAAATCAGCTTTGCTTCACTATATGGAGTTGAGAACCACCATTCCACAGGAATTCAAGATTCTACAGCTACCAGTTAATTCTTCTTCAAAAAGATAACTGATAAATCCTTAAACCTAAGCCTTTCTGAGCATGGTGCTGTGATGGAGGAAGAAATGTTTGCATATATTTGACACTTAAAATTACAGCATGCAATGTGCATATCAGGAAGGGCTTAGTGTCACAAAAGTCTATTCACAATCTTTTGATGGTACTGAATCAACATCCTATATTAAGTATTTCCAGAAACTTGTCCAGTGCTGCAAGTAACTGCCCTGCAGTATTTCTTGCCAGGCTTTCACACAGTCCATCTTGTCATCTCCTTCATCACAGCCAGAAGTTCTGGACAATGCTTTCACTTGTTACCTTTAGGCTATCATACTGGTATACAACAGCAACTGCTTTTCAACATTTTGCATGTTAAAAAAATCCCCCAGAAACTTCCACACAAAGAAAAATTCTTGTTTTTCAAATGCTTGTGCAGAAACTATTTTGTAGAAGCACTTGCCATGTCCATGCAGCTGAATCAGGGTGAACCAAGTAATTCTGTGAGGGAGCAGTACTGTGCAATGCCTAAAATGCACGAGGTACAAACATGCAGCAACTAGGTGGCATGATTAAAAGCATGGATAATTAACTAGTGTAGAGTTTAACAGCTAACCAGAGTAAATAAATGTGTTACAAAAAGTAACAACCCCCCCAACATCTGCTATACAGTCTTTCCTGCCCACCTAAGCTTCTACTGAAGTAGCTCTGTTTTGTACTGGAATTTCTTAAGACATTATTCAATTCTTGCTAAAGCAAGAGATATTTTTCCACTTGGAGGAAGGCAGTATTCTCTAAATAAGCAAAATCCTTTGAAAGAGAAGGATCCCTTACTATATAATTTATTATGTTTTCCAGAGCCTTTTACTGTTTTATTCTTTCTTCCAAATATTAATAGACGGTGGTTCAATAGAAATACTACTAATGTAGATCTTTTTTTCAAGGAGTCTTTACTAATGGAAAGGCAATAATTTTCCCATTCTTTTACATCTGACATCTATAGTTCTTGCTGCAGTTCACACAGGGCATATGACTACATAGTTATTATAATTCAATTTGTATTTTTTCTATTTCAAGTAAATTGACAAAGACACAAATTGTTTGTTACTCAACTATTTCTGCAGCACTAGAAAAAATAATAGAAAATGGTCCTTCTTCTGGGTTCTGCCCCAGAAATATTTGATGCCTTTTGTTTCCTGGGAAGACAATAGACTGAAAAATTGAAGTATATTCCTAGGATTCTTGTAAAGTCAAAGATACTTAAATGCTCACTCATATAAGCATTTATTCTATGAAGTCTTGTGAATTTATCCAGGCTCTAGTCAGATGCATACAGAGTATTAATTTTAAATCCTTAATTGAATTGACTGAGATTAAACAAAAAGCATTTGTGTTTTTCTTTCATTATCTAGATTAGTAATTATATAGATTACTTAAAATTCTAATCTTCTAACCCAATAATCAAAAAATGTCCCTGCAGTGAAAAAGAAAGCTTTTCAGCAAACTTCAGATTGAAACCCTAGGAAAGAAACACTTGTATTTATACATCTACATCAAAAAATTAGTTTTATAGTATATAGCCTTCTTCAGCTTCATTTGAAGAATATTTTTAAATTTATCTATTTGGGGATAATTCTATTGATGGTTGACTGATCTACCAGTAGTATGCACATCAGAGTTTAAATATACAGTTGTACGAAGTAAGGGTTACGTTCTTTAACTGAGCAGATTATGAAGTAACAAGTCTGAAGTACCCCATAAACTGAGATCCTCACCCTTCAAATGTTTATTCATAGGCTTGTTTGTTGCTTCTGATGTGAAGCAGTGTTCATGGACTTAATCAAGGAAACTAAGGAATCAAACACAAGCCAAATCCAACCGAACTCGGTCATGTTTTCTGTGGGAAGGTTTTACAACAGTGGGTTGCAGTAAGAACCTTGTCACTGGGCACTGCTCTGTTAGTGCATCTTGTCACTCATTTCAGGTGGAGACTCCCAAAGCATGGAGAAGATGCTGTTACCATTGGGAATCTGGCACACAGGGGCTGTGTGTTCACTCTCTGGATCAAATGGAGAAAGGGGTAGTGTGGTCATTCTTAAACTCCAGCAATCTCAAGGTGGTGTGAGCATCTTGGGAACTCTGAAAACTAACTCGGCTCACAGTGCTGCTCTGCTCTGTGCTGGACGGGGCTTTTGGGAATCAAAGGGGTTTCACTGCTCATGGAAACAGTCTCAGTGTGCTGCAGCTCTGGTTCCCTCCATCCAAGTGCAGTCATACAAAGGTGTTTCCATTCCCAATATCCTACTGATCAATCACTGACAGCACCGAGCTTCTCCTTCACTTTTCTATTGGTCTGTGGCTACCAAATAACATGGTGTGGCTTAGGTATTGTTTGTTTAACCCGCCCTACCAGAGTGAGCACTACAGGTTATTATCATGAAATCATTTTAAGTTTGACCTCCAAACCACACTTGGAAAAATTACAAGCTCCTACTTGCGCCTTAAGTTTGGAGTTTGCTCAGTAAATTTACCTTATGCCACCTAATGTCAGTTGCTAATGTGTCCGTCAGTTGGATCGGGAGACCGTTTTTATTTACAGAAGAGGTAGTTTCGCTCGGCCTGCGAGGCTCTCACGGGGAGATCCGGCAGGACAGAGCAGGGACCGAGACCCGCCACCGCCCCGTGCCGGCCCCTCCGCCGCCACCCGCCTTCCCGCCGCCCTTCCCGCTGCCGGCCGCGTTACCGGCCCGGGTCACAGCCCCCAGTTACAGCCCCGCGTTACCGCCCCGCGTTACCGGCCGCTCCGCGCCACAGCACCGCCGCCATCTCCCCGCCCGATCGGCAGCGGGGCAGCACCGCCCCCCCGGCAGCGCTCCAGCGCGGCGTGTCGGCAGCGGCGTGTCACGGCGAGGGGCCGTGCCCGGCAGCACTACCCGCCCTTGGAGCTGCAGCCGTGCCCTCCCTCGGGCCGTGCTGGGCGCTGCGCAGAGCTGGGAAAGGAGCATTTGCCGAGGGAGTTTTCTGAGCAGATCCCACAAAATCAGCTGGGTTTTGTGAAAAAGGGCGTTCACTATTCTGGTAAATTTTAAAAGGTTTAATAAAAAAGACAGTAGGAGACAAAGACAATAAAGCAAAGGGTTAAAACGGCCGGGTGTTTGGCACTCTGCCAAGAGCACACCTGGTGTTTTGGAAACACCCTTTATAGACCATTTCTACTGCATCAACTTCATGCATATTCATAGACTTTATGCATATTCAAACTTTTCTAATAACCAGTTTGCCTTTTCCAGGAACTGTTCAGCATGACCACTCCTTGGGCTCACCTTTTTAGAGCATGCATGTTTCTTGGCTTGTGACTTTAATTCTCTTCTTATCACTTTTTAATTTGGGCCTTGGCTCGCTCTTTCCACAGAGTGAGTGTTGATAATCAGCAGGGTCCCCATTACCTGGTTCATTGAATGTTATCCTAAATAAGCAGACAGTTCGAACATATTATATCGACTATTATATAGACTATTACAGCAAAGCTGTAATACATTTTAACATTATACATATATTATTCATCTTAATACTTGCGAAAAGCCAATATTATAATAGGTATCTATAACAGTTCGAAAAGATCTCCGAGATCATTGAGGCCAAGCTATGACTGAAAGGACCTTGTCAACTAAACCAGAGCTCTAAGTGCCTGTTGGGAGTTAGGTGTCCTTCCTTTTGTTCTGGCTCACCTGTGGAATTTTTACCCATTAGTTGCGGGGAAACCTGATTGCTGGTACTCAGTGGGTGCTTGAGAAACACAAAGAGTTCGGCTGCACCCAGGGGGGAAGGAGGGCAGGAAAAAAGAGAGGGCGGGGGCAGCTGGGGGCTGGATGGTTTCTTCAGCTTCAGAGCAGGACACTCGCTGGGAGCTGTTGCGGGGAGAGAAGGGAATTCGCCATCACCCACACGGAGCTTCTTCTTCTTCTTCTTCTTCCTTCTTTTGTGGGCCTCGCACCCCCTGTCCTGCCGGGACGTGGCAGTGCCAGGTATCGCCACAGAGTTGCTGATCCACCTCAGCCACCGGCCCGGGATTTCTGCTCATCCCTGCCTTTCCAGCTGGGTGTTCCTCAGAGCCCTGCAGGAGGAATAAGCCCGAGGGGGTTTGTGAAGCAAAGCCTCTCCTCCATCCCTTCCCGTCCCGGCCGATAAGGCTGTCACGGGGTCCCTGGTTCTGTTTTCTTGCTAATGCTGTAGTTATTGTTGTTTGTTTGCCTTGTTATACATACTAGTAAAGAACTGTTATTCCTATCCCCAGATCTCTGCCTGAGAGCCTCTTGATTTCAAAATTATGATAATTCCGAGGGAGAGAGTCTACATTTCCATTCCAAGGGAGACTTCTGCCCTCCCAAGCAGACACCTGTCTTCCAAACCAAAGCAGTACCACATCCAGACTTCCCTTAAACACCTCCAGGAACAGTAACTCCACCACTTCCCTAGGCAGCCCATTCAAGTATCTAATCACCCCTCTGTGTAGAAATTTATTCTGATGTCCAGCCTAAATGTCCCCTGGAACAGCTTGAGGCTGTGTCCTCTTGACCTGTCACTGTTGCCTGGGAGAAGAGACCAACCCTCACCTGGCTACACCTCCTGGTGTAGGGAGTTCTAGAGGACAATAAGGTCACACCAAGTGCCTCCTTTTCTCCAGTCTGAGGCCCCCCAGCTCCCTCAGCCGCTCCTCATCTCACTTGTGCTCCAGTTACTTTTCCAATTCTGTTGCCATTCTCTGGATTTGCTCCAGCACCTCCATGTCCTTCCTGAATTGAGGGGCCCAGAACTCAAGGTGTGGCCTTATCAGGGTGGAATAGAGGGGAAGAATCACTTCCCTGGTCCTGCTGGCCAAACTATTCCTGATACAGGCCAGGATGTCATGAAGCATTGTGCCAGAGAGACTCAGGAGAGCGAGCAGGCTGTCTGCTGATGCTGCACTCTTGTTGTGTCAGGCATAGCACAATGCGAGTTGCTGACACATAGCCTAAATAGATAAACGTTTGTGCCGCTTCAAATCTGATTAAATGTGATTAGTTAAAAGTGCAGATCAAAATCAGCGGTCAAAATGGCTATTTGAAAGTCCCAATATATGACACTTTCAATTTCCAGCCCAGGTTGTGTGTCAGGTGTGTTTCTGATGTTTAGAGAATTGCAGGTACCGGTCACAGTCACAGCTCTGCTGGCTGGGCCCTGCTCCACACCGTGGTTTTTGGAGTGTGCAAAGTGACAGTGAGGGGACACAGAAGTGGCGTTGCAGGGCATTCTTTTCTCTGCACTGAAAATAATTCATTTTTTGGTAGGAAGGAAACATAAAAGCAGCAGAGGCAGGAGCAGTACTGAAGTTAAAAGGTTAGTCCCAGTTTTGGATCAAGTTGCAGAAAGTCTGTGTGGGTGACTGGAAACACAAGGGTCTGTGGATGTAGGCCTTAATTTGTCTTTATAAAATAAACTTTAAGGTAACTGCATGGTATAAGAGGGGAGTTGAAGAGCACTGTGCTGATGGTGAAGGGGTGTGTGCATGCCTGGCTAGCCTGAACTTGTATATACCAGGTAAGATCAGGCTGTGCCCACAGAATCAGCTGGAGATGTGCGGTTCCAAAATAGCCCTTGTATCTAGGTCAGAGACTCCAAATGCTGAAGTAAGATGACTGTAACTTCACTATACTTAGAGCAGCTTTCCCAGTGCTTATACACATCTCAGTCTACAGAAACACCGCGCCCTTCCCAAGGGGGAAGCAGCAGCCATGGGGCATCCCTACTTGGGACTGTGGGAGAATGAGGCGCTTCTAACTGAGGGCAGGGCCAGGAGGCGGGAATGCCAGGGTCCCGGAGGCGGGAATGCCACGGCTCGGGAAGCGGGGCGGGGCAGAGCTCCGCGGGCGGAACCACTGTGTGCGGAACCTTGGCGGAGGCCGCGGGAGCCGCCCGGGCCGGAGCGCTGCGCTGCGCGGCGGAGGCGGTGCCGGGTAGCCACGTGTGCGCGGGGCGATGGCGGCGCTGCCGGGAGCCCCGGGTGTCCAGGCGATCCAGAGGATCCAGACGTGCCTCAGGGTGGCGGGAGCGGCGGCGGCGCGCCCCGAGTGCTTCCTCAGGTACCGCGGGGCGGCGTGGGGAGGCACTGGTAGCCCTAGAGAAAACCTGGAGGATAGTACCCAGGTGTAAAAGTTGAGGAGTGAGGCGGTGGAGAATGGTAGTTACCTTTTGAAACCTGGGATCTGGACCATTGAGGTCTTTACTTCCCAAAAATGCCTGGAGTGCTTAAATAAGATCAACATATTGTAAGATGCAGCTGTAGAAAGCTGGAATTTTCTGTCCAGTTGCTACTTCATACACAAAATGTAATAAAGCTGGAAGGATTAAGAAGTTTGTCTTTTTGTTTCTATGAATGTGTAGTAGCAGTACTCCAAAAGATGTGTGGAAAGTTAAGCCACAGCAGTAACTATTGAAAGGTGGTGTTCTGTAGCACCAGAGTACCACAGCACTTACAGGAGAAGCAGTGTGATTGAATTTATGGAAAGTGTTAAAACGTGTTAAGCTTTTATTTTTCCGCTCTTAGTGTGCAGGATGGACTTGCTGCCGACTTTAGAGCAATGACAAAGACTCTCTATGATTTGAATAAAGGAAGTAACATTGTTCGTGGGGGCCCTCTAAAAGAGCTGGTGATAGAAAATTTTGATGAAGAACAGATTTGGCAGCAATTAGAGCTCCAGAACAATGCAGTTCTCGATTTCTTCAAGAAATCCATTGCAAGGGATGCTGAGGATGAAGATCTTTGCCTTCTCTCAGACCAGGAAGAGGATGGCTCTGATGCAGAGACCAGCAGTGACAAGGAGCTGGAAGACAACATAATGGAAGCAGAAACTGAACAGATGAATGTTTATACAAAAGATAAAGATAAAACTAAAGCTAAAGAAAAGCAAAGTAAACTCAGAGAAGGCATAATGCAGAAATACAGTGATGAGGATTCTGATATTGACTTTGATATTGAAGCATTGGAGCAACAAGCTAAAACAGCCAAGGAAACCACATTGAGAAAAAAGGGAAGAAAATCGGTCGTGGATGACAAGTTTTTCAAGCTGGCTGAGATGGAAGCTTTTTTAGAACATGTAGAGAAGGAAGACAAGGAAGAAGAAGAAGATGATGATATTAATTTTTTTGAAGACGTTATCTCAGATGATGAGGAAGACTTTGAAGAAGCTAAAGTCAAAGTAAGAATATCAGTAAAATAATTTTATGATATCTCTTTTCCTTTAAATCAAAATCTGATATCTGTTAGGATAACCATAAAGTGTTTAACCCTATGTAGAAACTGCCAAATTACATTTGTTTAGGTGACTGCTGATTACTTCTGAAGCTTTACTTTAACAATGAATATCTGGTAAGAAAATTTCTTAGTGTAGAAGGACATAGCATCCTGCTATTCCAGTCTCTCCTTACATGGGCCTTGGGCTTTTACATAAATAAAGGAAGAGATAGTACCCACAGGAAACCAGGGATCTTGAAGAATTGCAGAATAGGTGACCCAGCAAATTAAAAAGATTTGTCACTCAGCATCTGGCAATTAGATATCACTAAGTGGCTGATGCAGAGTAAAGGGTTTTTTCCAGGGACATGCCTTGTAACTCTGATACAACTTAAATTGATGAGTAATTGATTCAAAAAGAAGTATTTTATTATTTAATATTACCAGACATTCTTACTAGCAAGTAAGAGATATACCCAGGGAATTAGTGTCCATTCCAACACAACACTGGAAAATCTACAGCTCCTTGATTTCTGTATGTGTGAGTGGTAGAGAACTGTAAATACCAGGAAAATAAATCAGTTT